TTCAATCATCCACATTATTACTTAGGACCCTTCTACTTGTACTGGCGTAAGTAAGTTTTTTTTAAATTAATAATATATTAAATTAGTTTTAATCTTATGTGTTTTGTTTACTTTRCATATAACACACAGCCAATATGGACATCGGGTATTGGTATATTTTCCATTAAAGTTAACCCTTTTATGGCTTACTGCATTTGGATTAGCTATATGTTTAATCCTCACGCTCAGTTTATTGTTTTTTATTCAAGTGAGTGAATATTAAGTAACAAGTAACTATTCAAATAAATACCTATTCACATTCATAACTTGTTATAAAACTTACAAAAGTAATATTTTATGTATACATGTAAGATATCAATGAAATTTTAAAACTACATAAATATTCTATTAATTCATTTAGATGAAATATGTGCTAAAAAATTGTACCAATATCGAAGACTGGATTGTGGGAAAAGCAATATCAAGACGTGAACAAGATCGGAATTTGCCACCATTTATATATCCATACAATTTGGGGAAATTAAATAATATTAAAGCAGTTAGTATATATTTTGTAAAATTATTAATTTTTTTCTTTTGCTTTGAAATGCATATTAAAAAATTCTGATCACACATTTATTTATTATTAGTTTTTTTCTAAAGAYGATGGTATTCACTGGGCAGTACGTGATGATTGTGGTGAATATGATTTAACGGTAAGCAAATATATCAAAATATCAAATAACACTTTTTATATAATAATAGTGTACATCAATTATTAGAAGTAACCAATAGAATCAATTGCTTGTTTATTTTCATTTATAATACAGTAAACACAACTAACAGACACTTTGCAATACCAGGTTTRGAAACAGGGACGTCATGCTCTCTACTTTCCAAGCAAAATAAATAAGTAATTTGGTATTGAGCCAGTATGAAGTTTCTTAATTTTGAGCTCCAAAAGCGTTATTTAAATTTAAAATTTTGTAAAACTATGTTTCATTTATTCTCAAAACAGATGAAGCTTTGGCATTCTAAACTTTTATATTTTTATTATATTAATTTTGTGTTTTTGTATATCATAATATTATTGTATAGTTTAATTTTGTTAATGTAGTTGTTTTATWATAGATGCAGTTTTAATGAATTTATTTTCGTTTTATCTAGTGTGAGTACATTTTACTATCGCCATTGCCTGTTTTTTTTTATTATTTTTTAAATAAAGATTAATATAAGTATTCACTATTTGGAAATTTCCCCAATGAAAAGCAGAGAACATATCCTCATTTACAAAATAACTTATAATTTTRGAAAGTGTCTATTAGGCATGTTTATTGTATTATTATAAATTATAATAAATAAGCAATGAGGGTTTTAAGTTTTTTTCAAACAATTCTACTGGTTACTTCTAACAATTACTTCTAACAGTTTTAGCTATTATTATGATTTCTTGTAACATAACAAGGATTACTATTTCTTGAATTGAGAAGCATACAATATTTTATAAAATTATATAATTTTTAAAGATTGAGCAGTTAGAACAAAAATTAATTAAAGAATCRTGGAAACAACCTATGGTAGTAATTAAAGAATACAATGGCAGATGGTTTCCATTAATGTTTGGTATATGTGTTTGTTGTCAAATACCATGGACTGACGAAACACGAATGCCATTAAATGTCGGTGAAATTGTTCAAGTCACTAGATTTAGAAAGTAAGATATTTTGTTAAAATATTTTTACTTAAATTAACAGTTAACATTTTTGTATCAGATACTGGATGTATGGCCATAAAAATGTTTCCAATGGCACTCGGGTACGAGGATGGTTTCCAAAACCTTGTGTGTATTCAATTTCTAGTACATTGAAGAAAGACAAATAAACTTTTTTAAATGAAAATTGTATTTGCTTTATATATATGTATATAATAGATACTTGATTTGTGTTACTTGAGTTTTTTTTTTGAAGACTTTGTAATATTTTTATTAAAATTCAAATATTAATTTATAACATTGGATTTACTTAATAATATTTTT